TTGTCTATCCTCTATACTGCATATTTTAGTATAATTAAATTTTGAAAGTACACACATCTGCGTGTCTGCCCTCTATATTGCATATTTTAGCATAATTAAATTTTTAACTTTGCTACTTCTTAACAGTTAGATCTAGTACACTGACCATTTCCTATGTGCCTTGGCCAGCAAGCAGACATTATTTTCTACAAGCAAGTCCCTTTTATGTAGTGAGAGCACATAAACTCTCATCAACTAACTTTTTTATTTTAGTCAATGAGACAAATCTTTTCTTACAGGCTTTTTAGTTTCTGTAAAGTGGGATGCATTAGGAAGTATCAGTGTTAATTCAGTTTAACAGCAGGAATTCCCAAGGTATTTTTTGCATTTATTATAAAGGTTGCTGCAAATCATATGGGACAATAATCTATTGTTGAATGGTAAATGATGATTTTTCTTCACATAGCCTTGCTAAGTACATTAAAAAAAAACCACAAACCAAAACAAAACCTGATAGAGCCATCCACCTTCATAGATGAATGCTGATGAGCATGAAAACACCTGTGAGTCCTCATTTAGCTTAATGATAATCGTATTTAGCATAATGATAATAATACCTCTGCCAGGTGAGCCTGCACAGCGTCAGTCATCAGAACCAACACAGAGGGACTCCAGGACAACATTTCTTAGTCTTCTTTTGTGTCCCACGTGCCCAGGTCTGCCTGATCCATCAGATACATTTTGAACATTAAGCCAACACCTTCACAGAGACCAGGGCTGTGGTTGCAGTCTCCTGAGGGTTGTAGCTGGAGGAATGAACTGAAACGTATTTGATTTTACAGCAAGGCAGCTGTAAGTAGCCAGGAGCTTAAGGGTTCCAGTTGTATACAGGATATAAGCCATCCTCTTTGGGATACTTCTTGTGCCCTCTGTGCTCACTGTGTGTTTTTACAGCACTTAAGACAAGGGGGAGAAGTTCCTCCCTTGATTTCTTTTCAGGAATTTTGAGTAAAGTACCTCGTGGGTCCACCTCACCTTCTGGTCCTGGGGCAGAGAGGGATCCCAGCTGGGCCTGCCCTCCCTGATGTGTGGCAGGAGAGTCCACCCTGAACAGACCTAAAATGCAATAATGCACACTATGCAAGCCATCATGCAGGCCAGCATGCAAGCTGTCATGCAAGTTCAGCTGCTGGCACCAGGTTGCTGTCTTGGTGTTAAATTATGCTGAGACCATCCTGGTTCACCAGACTTTGAAGATATATCCTTTTTTTTTGAAACCAGATGTGACAGATAAGCGAGTCTGCGAGCTTGTAAATCTGTGACTGTGACATAGTCACTTCATAACTATAAAAGCCCAGTCCAAACTTCCATATGGCAGATTCTTCCATGTACTTCCTTGAAGTGTGGAGCTTCTCCTGTGAAGCAGGGATGCCTCTCCATGGTTACTGCCCAGGGGTTAAGAGAGAGATCTGCCCTCCACCTCGTATGGTGAGTTATATCAATCTCTACTTAATGATTGTTTCTTTTGCTAGCTTCCATACAATTGCTTTAATATAATTGGTTTTTTTACAGTGCACTGTATTACTTTGTTATATAATACTCTACTAGTAGATTTTTTAGCTTTTACACTGTGTAGTAAGTAATTCTACTTAGATTAGAATTACTTATTAGAAAGAAAGATTAGAATCTTTCGTCTGTTCACCTCTTTGGTAATTTGTCATAATAAATAATTCATTTATATAAATGTGTATGTTTTGCCATCATTAAAACCTGCGGGACAAAGTGGTTTTATCACACCTCTGTAATTCCTTTAAATTTAAACTGCTAACACAGTCCGAGGCTAAGATGGGATTCAGCTGCACCTAAAGCCTTCCCTGAGGAGGAGTTTCAGAAGCAAGGGAGTCCCTTCTGCACCTCCAGGCTCACCAGCAAGGCTTTGCTTTTTAAAACTTTGTCTAAGCCTTCCACTCTCCCATGACAGGCACAAGGCTGTCCGTAGTTTTTGGGGAGGGGAACAGGTCTGACACCCTGTGTTTGTGCTAAGCCTCTTCTTTGCATCACACAGGGCTCCAGAAGGTGCTGCAAAATCCAAACATCTTGATTGGAGGTGAGCAGAGCCTGTTGTTTTGAGCTCCTGTAATCCCTGAGGAGCAAAGAAACGTTGGTGGGAGAAGGT